AAAAAAAAAAAAAAACACCAACCAAAAGTACTCAATGCTAAGAGTCTCCACTTCCGTACCCCGGGGTCTTGGAAGTCGGGCCATGCAATGAGAATTGCTGGATGGGACAAAGTTCCTTTCACCCTTGGACCAACCATACCGCCCCATGCCTTTTTTTTTTTTCTCCCCCAAGTTCTTCTTTTCTAGATTGATACTGTAAGGTTGGTTGTTTCTCCCCGCTTTAGCTTTTTCTGCATCAATTCGAGAGAAAATGCTGGGAACAATTGGTCCCCCAACAGCCAATGCGATTTACCGTATCTTCGACCTTTCTCCATTTAAGACCAGACATATCCCTTCTTTCTCGAGTTTAGTGTATCATCCGTTCGGTGGATTCGCGCAAATCGTCCGTCCCTCGACTTTTGACACGAACTAAATTCCCAGCTCCGTTGCTCCACTCACCGTGACCCTCAACACATCCGAGGGAAACTTGAAGAGCAAAAAATATTAGCCCCAGCGCAAAGAGAATAACAAAAAAAAGAAAAAAAGAAACCCTAAATCAGAACTAAACCCAACTAACGGGCCTTCCTCCCGTATTCGGTAAGTTGCTGCCCTCACACCCCTGCAACTTTCGCTCGTCCGATTGAGTGTCTGTTCGTTTCTTTCCATCGGTCCAGGCGGCGCCCTCGTCCCTTCTTGGTTTCTTATTTGACTTACGCTTTCCCCTCCTCCGCCGTCCGTTCTATTTATTTCTCCTTTTCCCATCTTGCACGGTCCTAAATCGTCAAGCCGTTGTTTTGTTCTAGCCAGCAGTGCTGTGCCGCATAGTGTCTTCTCTTCTCCCTTGAGATCCCTTGCGTGGTTCCATATACATTCATCTCCACATCCAGCTAGCTGGACTCACTTTTTCCTCTTGGACCTCACTTATTAATTCTCTGTCGCATCAGACATCACTTGGACCTATTGTGAATAGATCCTTCAATCCGTGAGCATCATGGCCGCCGCAGAAAATCCCCAGGCGTTCGAAAAGGACTTCGGAAACAGCCCCGATGGCATCAACGGAGCTCACGCCACCCACCAGATGTCCGCCGAGGACACAGCGAGGGCTGCTGCGCGCTTCGGATATGGTCCTCTCGCTCACGTCAACACCGCTGAGGCTCAACTCCGTCCCTTCGGTGGTGAGTTCCAACCTGGTCTGTACAAGTCGGTCGAGCACCGCAAGTTCGGTAACCCAGCTCCTCTGGGCCTGTCTGCTTTCGCTCTCACCACGTTCGTGCTGAGCCTGATCAACATGGGTACGCGCGACATCGCTGAGCCCAACATTGTGGTCGCCCTGGCTTTTGGCTATGGTGGTCTTGTTCAATTGCTTGCTGGCATGTGGTAAGTGGATACTTCCCTGGAATGTCCAGTCATGTCACACTGACATTCGTTAGGGAAATGGCCGTTGGAAACACCTTTGGTGCCACCGCTCTGTCTTCTTATGGTGGTTTCTGGCTTGCTTTCGCCATCGTCCTGACCCCAGGTGGGTTTGAGATTGCCGAGTCTCTCGGAGGCGCCGGTACACCACAGTTCGATAACTCTTTCGGATTGTTCCTCTTTGTAAGTTTGCAGTGCCGGTGATTGAATGAGTCGCGTGCTGACTGTGGCCAGGGATGGTTCATCTTCACTACTATCCTGCTGTTCTGCACCCTGAGGTCCACCGTAGCCTTCTTCCTGCTATTCTTCTTCCTGGACCTTACCTTCTTGCTCCTCGGCATTGGTTACATTCACCGCAACGCCGAGGGCAAGCCCAACCCCCCGGTCATCAAGGCCGGTGGCTTCTTCGGTCTCTTGGCAGCATTTGCCGCTTGGTACAACGCCCTCGCCGGTATTGCGGACAACAGCAACAGCTTCTTCATCCTCCCCGTCGCCCATTTCCCCTGGTCTCCCACTGCTCGCAGTCGCAAGACCGAGCGCGAGACCGCTTAGATTGTTGCGAGGTGCGAAGGTCGATGATCAAAACTCGGTTGGACCGGGGTCTTATCCCTGCATTTCCTTTTTTCCAGATACCCATTCTTGTAAGATCATTGCTGCGAGAATGTAATGTCGGGTTAGCATTCTGCATGTAGTATTGCGGATCAGCTTGACCACCCAATACTATATCCGAATCCGCAGCAGATATAGATGGTCTTTTGCGATGACTTGGATTGCTTTTGCCGTTTGCCAGCAACTTTTATAGCTTTGTAATGATGGTGATCTGTTGTTCATGTGGATGGACGATAGATGGGGCTGTGTCTGTATCTAGTTCTATTAGTTAATGCACTCAATGATGATGATTCTGCTGCTGTATCGTGTTGTAGTTGAAGGTGTGCGATCCCATAGTCAGTCATGTATGTTCGACCACGAGACATGTTGCGGACCTATCGCGCAGCACAGACGTTAGCTCCCACACGTGCCAGAATCGTAGTCATCATTGATCGATATACCACATACCCTCAATATAGAGACTGATGAATATCCCTAGGCCTTTGGAACGAATACAGTATATTAGTGTAGCTCCTGAAGGGTCAGAATAAACCATTCGCCCTCCAACCAAAAAAAGAAAAAGAAAAAGAAAAAAAAGAAAAGAGAGAGAGAGAAGAGAGAAGGAAGGAATCAAAACACCAAAAGAGCAGTATGCAAACAGCTCTTAGCCCAAAGCACAAAATCCTAAATAGATCAATTAGCACAAAACACACAATCCACAAATTGAGCAATATTAAAAAAGCGCTTCTATTTTCTCTGCACAAGAGTATGCATGGCCATCCGCACAACAGAAAGAAAAGATAGAAGAAAAGGGGCCGCCAAACTATTAAGTCCTATAGATCGGGAATTTCTCGGTTTGTCTTGCAGGTCGGGAGTCGTTCGGACGGGTGAAGTTCGGCACTTTGGTGCAAAATTTTTGCAGCCCGTGGAGCTGGCTACGGGTGTAACTCGGGCTTGGCGTCACCCTGCATGCATAAGCTTGTTTTCTTCTGTTCTTTTCTTTTTTTCTTTAATTTTTTTTGTTGGTTGTGTGAATTTTCTTTTTAAGGCCTTTGAATTTGGGCTCTAATGTAGTGGATTGTCTAGATTATATTCTCATAGAGAGGTTCATTGAATGCCCATGTATCTTGAAAAACGATGTTATGATCCTTGGTAGATTTAGGTGTATATCCAAAGTGAATCAAGCGAGATACTATCTCCCTCTGACGTAGATCCATCCAGAAGCAACTTTCGGGAACTCCCCTCGTCAAAATTAGGAGATCACGCCATAGCTCTGACTTGAAAATCGCGCATACTACTCATACTACTGGCAGACACCGGCATGGCCTTATCGGTGCTAAAGATACATGGGTGGAATGGGTGAGATTATGGTATGGCTGTTATTTCTTTGGGTGGTTTTTGTGACGTGGGAGGTTGGTTACTAATTGACTTTCTACTCACTGGTTTTGTTTTTGTTTGAAATGAGTATGTGGGTGTGGTATAGAGAACTAAGTTGATGGTGGGCTTTTGAAGTGAGTACAATTTACTAATAGTAGATAGGTAGGTGTAGGGGCCATTGTTGTGTATGGGTCCACTCTGCTTGGGGTGACAATTGGTTGATGGTTGAACCTGCATAGTATTACCTAGTTGAGTAACACTAGCTGTTGTTGATGGGATGGTGTAGCGATAGGGCGCCGCCGGTTATTACCAGCTGGCTTGCTGGTTCTTTGCCCAGAGACTTGTAGTATTGCCACAGCGTATCAGCATCTGACAGATGAGAAGTGTGATGTGGTGGAGATATATAAGGTTGGAGTAGTCGGTCTCATGGTATGTACAGGGATATTTTCATTACTATACACAATTATATAACGGCCCATTGGGCATAGATGATGTTCACGGGATACGTATCAGCTGGATCTCATCCCATAGTCCGCGCAATGCAGTTTGGTGAACGCGGTCCATGTAGAAAAAGTTCAGCAGAAGGGATCGCAGTTCCTGCCACGACTGGATTCCTTGTCGTCTTACTGCAGCCGCTAACTCGGTCACGAAGAATGTTCTCTCTGACAATAGCTGCGAACTCCATGTCCCGATGAAAAGCACCCAGATCAACACCTCCGGGAGCATTTGGAAGAACCCGGCTGGGATCGTGGTAGCTAGCGCCAGGCGAAGAGCGCTAATTGGTTTTGGGAACACCGGGCCGATCTGGGGGTAGAATTCCCAGATCGTGCCATTGTGGAATAGAAGACATGCTAGTCGGACGCAGCCTTCAATATTCGCATCCCCTTTGGGCTCGCCGGTCTCGAGATACCGATCCATATGAAGGGCGTATTCGACATATATGACCTCGGTGTTGAAATAACCTTCGGTCTCGTCGTCAATCTCTTGATAATTCTGGCCGCTCTTCACCCATTCAGCGTACCAAACAAGCTCAGCCAGGTCGTAGATGATCTTAGACATGCCATCACCGAATATGCTAGGGATTTCAATTAGTGAAGTTAATGCAGAGGCTGTCTTGGTAAGATCTTCATTGGTAGGGGCAATGGCGAAGTCAGGGCGAGCGTAACGGAGGAAAGGGAAGATTGGCCTTGTGAAGGCCATACACGCCACTCGGATATCGGTCCTGCTGGAATTAGCGATGAGTGAAACATTAATTCATTGTCCAACCAACCAAGAGATCTGGAACCGGATATCAGGCGGTACGTCTGCAAGGCTATTTCGCAGGGCAACCATTTGCCTTAACCCGGCCAGGTGAATTTTGAGATAATCGGGGTTTCCAGAAGCAATCTATTTTGTCAGTAGCGAGCAGGCTTGGCTTGCCAGGATCTCATACCTCAATCGTCAACAGCGTTGAAACAGCGGCGATTAGTGAATCACTCGAGGCCTTGACAGGGTCTGATAACCCCTCGTTGACCAGCCGAATTGTCTCACCCCTGTGATGAAAGGTGTCGAGAAGTAGGGCACTAGGCCGTTGACCCTCCTTCACTGGGAATTCACCGATTGTCAGGGCTGTATTGGAGGCGGCAACACATATGCATGCATGGAGTGAGGCAGGATCGCGATGAACCAGTGCCGTCCAATGTGCCTGTAGTTTCTCTCCATACCGACGTTGGAGCGGGTACGCAATCTGGGTTAGGGTACCCAGGACTATCAAATGTGAGCTCCGTATACTCTACATGGTCCAGAGGATTGACTCACAGTGTTGAAGATGCCGAGCCATACGATCAGTAAGCCGCGTATGAAACACATTGAAGGGGTCATTGCCTCCTGGGCCCAAATAAGCCACTGGCGAATGACCCTGGACCACGGCGAGAGCCTGACTATGCGAAGATGCATCAGCGTCATGGTAGTTTTCCGCCGAGGCGGCCACAAAGCCTGGCGCGTCGCCGGCAAGTGCATTCTCTAGAATTCCTCCTTGTTGCTCAGACTGCGATACTTTGAGGGGTACTTCTTGAGAGTCGTCCGGCGCAGAGGCTAGAGGAGTAGAGGCTGCTGAACTAGAAGCGGCGGTTTCCGGCGGCTGAAAAGCCAGGTGCTTCCATGTCTTGCTTTTGTACCGTTTAGTGTTTTCCAGTCTCTTCTTGCGGTTATGCTCCGACATGACATGGGAACGGATACGCTTGAGGGTTTCCTCTCTCGTTCCCCGTGCTGCCGACTGGGGGTCGCTATGGACCCAAAACAGGGTCGACCGGCCACCCGACGCATTACTAGGCTTGCGTGGTTTGCGCGACTTCGTTACAGCATCTCTGCCTACATCTTGATTATTGCGCTCGGAAGCCTGGGTTACGTTATGACGGGTGGATTCATCGACGAAGGAGAGCGCATGGGAATTGTCATGGACCGCTGACGACTCCAACGACGGATCAGACGACGGGGCCGAGGCCAGGCTGTGGCTAGAGTCTGAATTCTGTATCGAAGACGCCCACGTCGCCGACGAGACCGGAGTGGAGTTTAGGAGCGGCAGTACCTGCTGGCGATCGGAGGGAGCCGTTGAATGGTGAGTAGAGTTCTTGGCGTCCATGGTGCGCGCAAATCTAATTATGGCAACTCGGAGATCTCACTTAAGGATCGTCATGGGGACACGCCGTTTCAAAATGAGTGAGAATGGACCATGAGTTTGGGGGACGTGGATGAAATGGATTGGGGGAGGTCAAGCAAGATGGGCCAGGGGGGAAATTGCTTGAGACTGAATGGTCAACGCACTGCCCTTATCAGGAAAAGTCCATCCCTCTCCCAGCCTGATCTAAATCGGTCTATAAGTGAAACACAAAGAGTGAGCTTGGACCCCTCCTTTCTTTCTTTTTTTTTTTTTTCGGTCCTTCTCCCTTATGGCACGAGAGAGCGGGAGGGAAATCGTTTACCAATTAAGGGAAAGATTGGGTCCAACACGGCCGGCGGAGTTGGAGTCCAGCGCTTCCGAGAGTGGAGAGAGAGAGAGAGAGAGAGAGAAGTCGAAACCACGGTCAGATCTTCTTCCCCTTGAATTGGTCATTAGGTCCTCCTGGCCGATGAGTATGGGAAGCAACAACGAAACCTCCAACAAGCCAAGTGGAATTGATTCCCGAGAGGAAGAAAGAAAGTCGTATGGATACCCTGTAGGGCGTGACGAGGGATCTTCTTCATCAATTCCTTTGCCCAAGTGGAGCCTGAACTCAATTCCTGAGGTGTTATAGTTTTGTAGAGCCCACCAGGATTTGAAATCATCCAAGTCGTAGTTGGGTTTCTAAATAAATAAATATGCAGGGAGTACGCCGTATATATATTTCGTGCGAGTCGCCACGGCCCGACTAGTCGTATAAGATGTGCAACCATCTCCCGTGATATCCCAAAGGAGAAATGACCTTTCCAGTCTAGGCTTGACGACGTGTGTTTAGCATTCATGTATTTGTGCCACTGCCGATCTTAGAATCAATAGCTCTTTTCTTGATTTATGAATACGAAGCCCTATGCGCCACTTCCAGGAAGCACAAAGGAAGAAAGGGCTACCACAACTCTCAACACCCCTCGACCACTCACGGCACGGTCGCAAAATCTAAAAAGTCTTATTACATGCCCTAGTCACTAATGTTGGCTATCGCTACAGGGATTTGGCAGACAGGCCCGCGCTGCGAGCTCGCCATCGTATGCTGAACACGAACACAATAACTGAACGACCCATGTAGGGAGAATATGCACAAGAAGGAACCGGGGGTTAAAAATATCCTGATAGAAGCGCCACAGTTGTCGAGACCGCAATGGGAACATTACATTCCGGGCCGCGGAAACACCGGCACAGTCTCCAGCTGCTCATAACCGCCCATGGTCCCTTGCTGGCCACCGACATGCCACCCCTGGCCAGTCTGTTGGTTGACAAAGGCACTTTGGCGGAAAGGATTGGTGCTTCCAGTTGGATTGGGCCGCAGAGGCGCCGGCGCAGGAGGTTGCAGGCCTTGTGACTGCTGCGGAGGAACCGAAGAGCTTCGAGCAAAAGGATTAGTCCCCGTTCGTTGGGGTTGTAGTGGTTGTGCTGTCTGTGGAGGCGGTTGCTGCGGCGGCGTACTAGCATTGAACGGCGGCAGGTTGGCGCTCGACAACCGTCGCGCAAAAGGGTTTGTGCTCTGGCGGTTCAGTGGAGATGCCGGCATGCCGGTTCCGGTTGGGGTACTCAGTAACATCGACTGTCTAAAGGGGTTCGTTGTTTGCGGTTGTAACTGCGCACCGGGCATTGGTTGCTGTTGCTGGGGAAATGGCGCAAGATTGTTCTGGGGAACAGGAGCAAGATTCTGTTGGAATCCATATGTCTGCGGCTGCGCTGAGTAACCACCAAATCCCGCACCAGTTGGGGTTGGCTGAAGTGGCTGTGGCTGCTGAGCTTGCTGTTGCCCAAATGGGTTGGTACTCTGCTGTGCAAAGGAATCTCCAGCCGGCATAGCCTGGGCAAATCCCGTCGGCTGCGCCTGTTGTTGAAACCCGGTTTGTTGGGGATAGAACACTGGCTGTTGCGGTTGGAAGCCCGTCTGTTGGAATTGCATCGCTTGCGCTTGCGCTTGCTGCTGTAGATGTGGTAGCTGCATAGGGTTCTGTTGTGCTGGGGGTTGCGGATCGATAGAATCGAAGAAATCGATCAAGTCGGCCGGGTTCTCTTTCTTTTGCGAGGCAGGTTGTGTGTGGGGTCGAGGTGGTTCAGGATTGCTGACAGACCTATTTCCTGCTCCAGCTGTGTTGCTGGATGCGAATGTCGGACCCGGGTTGCCGCTCTTTCCTCCCTTTCGCAGGAGATATTCTCTTCGTCGCTGATCAAAATCTGGGTCATTAAGGTCGTCTTCAAGGAGTCGAGTAAGGTCCGTAGAGGCGTGCTTCAGCTTGGGTATTTCTAGTCGTGTTGCTGCTTGGAAATGTCTAGCGACACCTAGAAATTTCACGACCTCCTCTGTTTGTTGGGTAAAAGTCTTATAAATCTCCAGCGCACGCTCACTATCAGGCCGCGACATTTCGAAGTAATGCTCTGTGGCGAACACCGTGAGTTAAGCCGCAATATGTGACGGGTGATAGTACCTACCCAAAACGTTGATCGTGCCCTCGTTCATGACTGAGTAAAGCGTCAGGAGATCCAAGGTGAGCAGGCGAAAGGCTGTTAACGTAATTTCGTTCTCAACTTCATCTGTCAACAGCTGGAGACGGTCAGCCATCGTCACTTGACTGCAGCCGATGAAGAACATACATCACACTGTAACAGCGCATGGATCTGTCTTTGTACAATCTCTGTTTCTCTCAAGAGGCCTTTCTCTACCGTCAACCTCTTCATACGTCCCTGCCCGCTTCGTACATAATCCGTTTTGGTGGCCTCGAATGCATTTGCGCGCGCGATAAGGTAATCGGAGTATCTCCGGATGTTATGTCCTTGTGACTGAACTACTCGGAGTCAGCATCTTCCCCTCGATTATCCGGAACTTTACCGGCCTACCTTCTGAGAATCCGCTGATTGCAAGCTTCCTCGGGTTCTCCGCCATATACTGTAGTGTAGCGTCCAATTGCCCCTCCCTTACCATGATATGTATGACAATGAGGGCTTTGAAGACTATGGTCCATGTTGAATCGCGTAGCCGAAGCTGGATAGTTCGAAATATTTCTGCTACCCCCGCTTCTCCTGTATGGGTCGCTACCAGGATGTGCTCTATGTATTTAGATTTAGGGGCCGCGAGCTGCTCGCATGAAGCCAGTTATCAGCACCTTGCGCTACCGATAACAGGCACGGCGACGATATAGGTTCAGACTGACCTTAATCTTGGTGGCCCCCTTTACTGATTTCTCAAAATTATGGGACATTGTGAGGGTGTGTCGGACTCCGCAATTGGGCCGTAATCGGGAGTAGAAGATCGTTGTGGGAAAGTTCAATTAGGACTGAAGATACTTGTAGGGTATGAGGGCTTCAAGAATATCAGGGCAGATCAACAGCTATCGTAGTTCCAAATTGATCTGTCGACACCGGCACCAACAACATTCATGGTGGCTCAAGCCATGTTGCGCGCGTCGTGACTTCTGGAAGTATGCAGTCTGGCAAGAAGGTGGGGGTGGGCGAAGTTATAATCAACACAACTTCCGAGAGTGGGATAGATAAAATAACGATGGCAATAAAAGCGTGTTATATGTCGGCCCCGAGGAGTTTAGAAGGTTGGTAAATGGCCGGGAGGGACTGAGGGAGCTTCAGGCCTTCGGAACGTTTGGAATGTTAGTTGGCGGGAATCGCAGTGGAGTTAAGCTTTACCCTCTCCGCCTTAGGCAGATATCAGTATCACGTTCCCGCTTATTCTATTCAGGAACCTTCACATACTAGTGTGTGCCTGGTATGCCATCTAATACAATAGAACTGACCGAAATTACATAAAACAAGAAATCTTGTCTGAGCTGTGTTTTCGCTTTCTTTTTATTTTCTTTTCTCTCCCTTTTTTTTTTTTTTTTTTTTTAATAAAAAAGGTCCCCGTCTCGCACTCAACTCTTCAATTACCCCTGTTCGGAATCTGATATATCGCTTCTCGGAACTATAAATTCTATATAATCTCACATTCTAACCCAAAACTCTATTTCTGGACCTATTCCAACACAATCCCGCAACCATATCTAGACTCGGATATATTAGCGTAGCCGTAGTAGTTGCTTTGCTCATTACTTTCTATCGCCGTCCGACACGTTCTATCCATATAATCCCTCCGTAGTAACACTAACCCTGACAGCGCTCGTGTTCCAATGCCCAACCTGAGATTGATTCAAAAGAGAATTTGTTTCAAAAGAGAAGGAGGTAAGAAATCTTTGCCTCCTTAAGGGTTTAATCTGATAGGGTATCTCCAGTACAGCACTGACCTCAACGTTATAACAATCTACCTCTCTTCTTCTATCTCATTTCCCAACTCATCCCATATTATTTGGGTTTGTCATTTCACTCTAGCCTGAATATCCTTGTTTGTCATTAAACATATCTAGAGAGACCAAGAGTCTATCTAATCTTTTCATACATCTCACTTGCCTACCCACAGCCCATTAGGCCCCCATTATTTCAGACAGTAAAGAAGAGGAGAAAGAGGAACTCATCTCGTCACATCACAATACTTTATACTATCTATCTGTCTTCTCTTGCGGAAATTATACGGGCTGGATGATTCTCTCCGTTCTCAAGAGCCAATATGGATATGCAGGCTATTGACCATACACTGAAGACACCCAGGAACCGATGGAGCACTAGGCAAAGAATCTTTCTTTGTTGCCTCTACAAATTTTTCTGCAGAGATAAAAGAGCCTTCAGAGAAATCTTTAATTACGCCTTCAAGCCAGACCTGATTAAATGTGGACTCTCAGAAGGAATTTCTGTAGGTACAATGTATACCCAGTGGGCTGATCTGAAATGCTCCGGCGATCCTATCTGGGGGCATATACATCTGTCTTCCTTCGACGACCGTGACCCTTGGTTCCCTGTGATTAAGAGGATTCAAGACTGTGCAAAGATCCTGGGTATCACGCTTGTTGAAAAGGAAGTAGATGATATAGATACGTCAAACTTTCAGCTCCGCGAGCAGAGTCTTCCGGCTGACTTTTTGTCTACTACACCTGTGAGTTCTTGTCTTGGAGGATATGTCTAGCGCTAATGGAGTCTTAGGATGCCGATGAGAGCCTTATTACACCATCAAATGCAAGAGTTGTGGACATTACCTCCATACGGTCCCCTGTGGAAATTGGTAGGCACAATTATCAAGATCTAAGTCTTTGTACGGGTGGCGGCAAGAGATGTTTTTGGTGCTATAAAGAAGATGTTGAGAAGGTATGGAATTCTAGTATTTGATCACCAGGCTTTTGCGCTGATTTACCATAAATACTAACAGCAGGAAACCGCAATTTGGATACCTCCAATTCTGTACAGGTGGTCGAATATTGAATCCCAAGGAATCAATTCCACAAAGCTGTTTCTCGCTGGGTTATTCATCGATGAGCTGGATTATTTTGCGCCCAACGACATCAACACAAAGGAGTTCGAGCAACACGTCGTAAACCACACTAGACCAGCTAAGGTCCCAACTCCCTTCATCTCAACCTTCAGGTCTATGCTTGCACCGGTCCATAGGGCGATCAAACACAAAGAAGGGGCAATAATAACTATGATTGACTCGAAGAAGCTGCAGACTCAAGTATACTCTGCTCAGAAGCTTGTCCGAAAGGTTGGTTTGAAGGTGGGAAAATACAACGGAGGGGGTGAGTTTTTTATCTGGGGAAAGGTCCATAGATCTGCTATAATATCCTCATTTAAAGTCAGCTCGCTTCTTCAGATAGCAAGTGAGCATCCCCATATTGAGAGCATTCTGCAGCTGGACACCATTGGAACCTATGAGAAAGCTGGAAGATCATTACACCAAGTCCTAGCCAAGGGCCCAGGACAGCTTGACCACCAATCTGGCTTGATTATAGGAGAGCTCTTGGCCCGCCTCCAAGTACCTCAGCAATATTGCCATTCAGTTGGACAAGGAATAGCGTACTCATGGCGTTTGAATACGCAGAAAGGATCTTGGCAAGAGTTTATCGGAGGAGTCTACAGTGGTTATTCATCGCTGTCCGAGATCAATAACCCAGGAACACCTCTGCCTGCCATCTTGGACCCAGATGAGTTAGATCTGCTCGAGCCATCTTCAGATGAAGACACTGTAACTGAGGGGGAATCATCTTCAGATAATGATGATCAGGAGAGTGAGGATGATCCAAGAGCTGACACGCCTTGTCCGGTAGGACTGCCTACGAGGACTGCGTTACCACCCATCGAGCTCTTTGACGGTGATAGCAGAAGGTGGATAACGCAAGAAAATCACGCAAGGGAAGAGATTATAATTGACAACTCCGGCACCGAAGATGAGGTTCTTGACGATGTTTACACAACGGTTGCCTTCTCAAACACCTTGATTAACACAAATGTAGCCAATGACATCACTGAGAGCGTCACTTCAGCGAATTCTGAGCCGGAGCTCATCGACTCTCGTCATCAACCAGCACCAGGGGACCAATTTGCGAGCGACAGAGCGCGAGTTAACCTAATTTTGAATTGATATTGCACTCAATGATACCTGTTAAATGTGCTTAATCCCGTCTTTATTCGGAACCGAAGATATGATTATGCACAACGGGAAATAATAAATGGAGAACCGAAGGGAAGGGAAGGGAAGGGAGGAAAGACTAAGCAAAAAGACGGTGCATCTTTACTTGTTTTGGGGAAGGGGGGTTGGAGAATTGGCCGTTAGGTTGTACACCAACTGGGCTGCTGAAGGCACTGAGGCAGGTTGTACTATATTCCCAAGGGTAGCTGGCGTGTCAATTCTTTAGCTTTTAGCGACGAGAGAAAATGATCGAAATATCCCGGGGGCAACGACAATGTGTAAAGAGAAACATTGAATGAAAAAAAAGACCTAAATTGGCATCATGAAAAAGCCCCATTCCTGAACTGTCATGAATGGTAACCCCCTTTCCCGGTTGGCTATACAGTTGGAATTCTAACATAGGAGTATCAAAAAGCTTTTTTTCATTGGATATTTCCTTCACAAGGGTACCTGGGACATGAAATCGTGAAACAATCCCAACCCGTTAAACTAATTCGCTTATATCCAGTCACGCCGCTGCCCTAGGTTGATGACCCTCTGGAATCGAAACACCCCCACCATCATCGACACGCTTAGAACTTGGAGAAAGCCTTGACGGCCTTGCCGGTACGGGGCAGGACACGGAGGACGTTGAAGCGGACCTAAAGATGTATTAGAAGTGTTCCACCCAATAATGGCAATCGGAAAGCAAATCCATCGAGTGGTCCATAGCATGACAGGGCCCCACATAGCAAGGGGTACGTGACCGCTAGTGACGAGGCTAAATGGAATTTCCAAAACAGTTATGTACGTACAGTCTTGGACAGGGGGCGGCACTGGCCGACGGTAACCCAGTCACCCTCCTCAACACGGAAAGCGGGAGAGACGTGAGCAGCAAGGTTCTTGTGTCTCTTCTCGTAACGGTTGTACTTGGGGACGTAGTGGAGGTATTCACGGCGGATGACGATGGTACGGTGCATCTTGGTGGAGACAACACGGCCGGTCAGGATACGGCCACGGATGGAGACCATACCAGTGAAGGGGCACTTCTTGTCTGTTTGATATCAGCGATCTATCCACCAAGCCGATGGAGACTTATGAACCGATTCCGGAGTTCGGAGATGAAGATAATAGATGACCAGTAAGGCAATATCGGCTTTCCAACTGCGACAGAATCTTCTCCACCTCTATCGACAATCTCCGTGCCGCAAATGCAATCCTGGACTTCCATGATACCGCGCGGTCTTTCATCTCCAAACCCCGGAAAATCGTTGTTCTTCCCCAATGTGGAATTCGAAATTTCCGGCAAAATTTCACCGTAGGTCGTGCATACCGATGTAGTTGCCCTCAATGGCGGTCTTGGGGGTACGGAATCCAAGACCAACATCCTTGTACCATCTGCGGCCCTGGCCAACCTTCTTGCTCTTCGCAAGAGTCTTAGGGTTGTTGAAGATGTGAGGCTGCTTCTGGAACGCACGTTCCGACTGGACGGTCAACTCGGTCGCCATTGTTGCGAGAATTCAGTTCGACGAGGAAGCGAAGTCGAGCTGGGTGTATCGTCGCGGAGGGGGGTGTCGGGGCCTGCGGTGGTCGACGTCGATGTTGAGGAAGATTTATTCGGGATCGCGGATAATTCAGTGTGGGAGTGTGCGATGGCGACGCTAAGCCTGTTGCGGGCTAGCCACGCTGTACTAGCCCTAACACCTAATCGTATCATCATTATGTAATAAATTACTAATCGCGATAACAGAAACGTTTGTTTACATCGGGCGATCACATGAGCACCGCCCGGGAGACGCGCGACTTTTGGGGGGTCGTTATACTTGTGTGGTTAAGGAGGGCGCAACAACAACTGGACCATGTCTATTATTCCAACGCCTCGAAAAAAAGTGGCATTATTGATGAATTGAAATTGAGAAGCTCTAATCATCCAGACTTTGTCTATGATACCTTATATCTTGCCTCATGGCATCCAGAAGTGACTCCGCGGGGTCTACCCGTCCGCGATCTCGTCGCTCAATCGCCCATGTGCCCCGATCAAGGTTCACATCTGGAGTGGATAAGGAGAATACAACTACAGACATAAGTGCAAGTCAACCGATCTTGGGCTCCGCAAGGCTGGGCGGGAAAGATAAGAAGTCCCGCAGCAAAAGCTTGGGGCCTGGTGGTTTAGATGCGCTTCAGAACTCCAACGGTAACCGACGCAAGGTACATTCCCTCTCTTAGTGCCCTGATCATCTGTTCCATATAAAACTAACAAAAATATTGTCGCATTATAGTCCACTACAGCATTCCCTCTCAAATCTATTCTTAAACCTACCGTTCCCGTTTCGCCGGTACGAAATATTCCCTCTTTCGAAGAAACACGGAGGCGGACACCGGCTCGAGGGTTACAAAACCATGAAGACAATCAAGGTGGGGGGAGCCAGAGAAAAGAGGGCATGTTGATAGACCTTGGCACCCCAGCACAGCCGTCAGGGTCTATGAATGAATCCAACCCGTTCGACAGCTTTAATGCTTCGTCGATACGTGACGAAATGGCCGCTGCTAGAGAACGTGACGGGAAAGCCAGACGGGAGCGAGAGCGAAAGGCTATTCTAGAACAGCGGGAAGCCCGCCGAAAGTCTATGGGTATGTCCTTGCCGTCCCATTAGCAGTTCACGTGGGACTGACTAGTTTTCATCACAGCAAATCGCCGAGTATCGTTCGCTCCGGAGGCAACACTGCACACATGGAACGTAGTGGAAATTCCAGACGACTCTACTTCATCATCTACCTCCAACTCTACCCGGCGCGCATCTTCCCTAACTACTGAGAACCGGGCAACACCTGTTGCCGCGCAGACAACTGAACCTCCCTTGTCTCCGGACGCCGAAATCGAGTCGGACATAGCATTCTCTCCAGTACAATACCCAGATCTCCAACAGTTGGCAAACGGCTCTCAGTATGGAACTTATGATGGAATGGGAGGCTCCCAGCAGATGTCCTCTAGCCCCTTCAGCGGAAGCTCTGCAGATGGCAGTGAAGATAATGGGCTGCAAGCTGAGACAAGAGATGACGATGAGGAGGATGACGACAACTCTTCAACCTCTGGTTTTGACGGCGAAAGTACTGCAATGAGCCTGGATGACGTGACCGCTCACTCAGCTGCAACGGCGCGTTCTGAGGAATCGAATACCAGCTCTAGCGCTCGACTGAATGAGGCTCTTCGACAAGCAGCTCGAGAGGCCGGCACGAAGAGCATCGATGACGATGAGAATGGAGAGATGTCAATGGAGATTGTTGACCAGGAAATCACAGGCGCTTTCCAACCCTGGATTAAGAAGGGGCAGCGACAAAGCTTTGACTGGGAGGACATAAGCGCCCGACATGATCAAGAGAATGCCTATTCAACGGATGACCCAATCCGCGATGCGGGCATCCATGATGCGGCAAGTGACAACGGAGACGAAGACATGAGCATGGAAGTAACGAATGCCATTGGTCGGATCATCACCAAACCGGCAAGCCGTCGTCAAAGCGCCATTCGTCGCAAGTCAAGTGGGGAGGAAACAAACTACGGTGAACAAACGATGGAGCTCACAAATGTGGTCGGAGGCATCGCGCAGCCTACTTCTCCTGCGGGGTCGACAGGCGCTGATAGCAATGTAAACGAGGACGAAGAGATGACAATGGAATTTACTTCCGTTGTTGGCGGGCTGTTGGGCAAACCCTCCACCCAAGCTGGGGACGAGGACGACTACGGAGCTGCTAGGTCTTCTGCTCAGGAAGAATCCATTGAACGAGATTTCTCCGAATGGAACGAGGACGGCGGAATAGAAGATGGCGAAGATATGGAGATCACTGGAGCCGTTGGTGGTATCCTTCCACCGAACGAGGAGCGAGATGAACCAGAGGATGATGATCAGACCGCAGGGATGGAAGTCACGACGGCTATGGGTAGGATATTACCACCGGAGGCCAAAGCCAGTGGTAAAGAGGAAGCAAAGGAAGAGATGGAAGTGGAATTTGAATCTGCTGAGCGCGGTAGCTCTCCATTCCAAGAAACCGTTCGACAGTCTCCTGCGAAATCACCAGCCTCCTTCCATGTTGCTACAGTCACCTCGGAGAGTGGCAGTCCTAGTTTGGCAAGTGTTAAATCCCGACGTACAAGGCAGAGTTTGGCACAAGGGGGACTGTCGGACACTTCAACCTCAACTACTCCTAAGATGTCTCCATCGGAGAACTTGTTGACTACCCCGAAGCAATCGACACCGCAAGTTGATCGTCCTACAACGCCTGGAGAAACCCCGCCATCAAGTGCCAAGGGATTTAGGAACGCGTCACCGAAGAAGCTTTTTCAACCTGAACTGCAGGAGTCCGCAAATAAACGGAAGTCGCCCCGGAAGAGCCTCTTTGGAAACAATGCGATGGGCGAATCTACGCCTCTCTTCGTTCTGCAACCCAAAAGCAAGAGGCGATCATCTGGACTTGGAATCGATAAAGAAGGGCTAGGATCACCCAAGGTAGCTGCTATGCTTGATAAGCGCCGGTCTATTGGCGAAGATAGTGCTGAGTTCGTTCCTCAGGAACAACGGCAACAAGGTGTACGATTTGAAGATCCTTTGAAGCTTCAAGAGGAGGTTGATCGTGAGCGCGAAGAAGAAGAAAGCCGCGAGGACGGTCATATCGCACCGCTGCAAGGTAACGACCGAGATGCCACCACGAACCTGAGGGATATGATTTCAAGCCTCACACCGAAGAAGAACAAAATTGCCGGCCGGAAAAGCTTACACGTCGGTGCGGCGCGGGGCTTACTTGGTAAACGGCCGATGGAACTGGACATACCTGACGACGACTCTGACCATACGCCCAAGCGTCTAAGAGGTCGCGAGGCTAGCCCTGTGAAGAATATCAGGCTCCCCGCACCACCGACAAAAGACGAAACAGTAGGACGCCTGGGCCGCTCACCTGCCCCCCCAGCCATTGAAAGATCTCCGGCAAAGGTTAGCACAACTCCTACTCGGGAGCAGAAGGGCGCCTCTGTAATGGTAAACCCTATGGACGACGAGCCGACTTCGTCCAGTGCCACATCCACTTCTGAGCCAGCCCAAGAACCTCTCGATCGTCCGGAAGAATCCGGGCCAGAAGTTGAGCCTATCCAGTTGCAAGAGTTTTTGAATATGACCAACATCCACTTCATGGAACTCACCACGACGAAGCGTCGACATACCACTGCGCCGGACAGTGCAACCAAAAGAAGAGCCAGACTTTCCAGCGAAAAGTCTAGTGCCTCCAAGTTTGACGATTGTGTCGCTGCTGGCTTCTGTACCGTCCCCATGCTCGAGCTTTATCAACATGTTAGTTTTTCTTCTCAACCAATTGCAATTTTTTGCTAATTGTCTCTAGTCCTGCCGCGAGTTGAAGTCGTATATCTCAGAAGGTAGACAAGTTATCCGGTCCATCGAGACGGAGACCTATACCGAAAACCCGCCATTATTCCGAGAATACATGACAGCCCCTCCCGATATCCGTCTATTAATGGACAATCAATTCCGAAATGTTAAAACTCACGCTAGGTTACTTAGCAAAGCTACTTGGTATGAGTGGCGGATGAAGCTCCTCGAGGGTCTGAAAGATGGGCTTAGTCGCCACGTTGAAGAAATGAGAGGTGATGATGAACTTCTGTCGAAGCGTGAGACGCTCCTTAGCGGTGCTGTTCCCGCGCTTGTCGAAAAGCATTCTTCACTTGAGGAACAGGCTACAACTCTGCAGCAGCTGGCGGACGAGATCGAGAACTGTGATCAGGATGAGCTACAGGATGCGCGCGAGAAACTCTCTAGCACCGAGGAGGAGATTGCATCAAAGAAAAAGCTACTCGAAGAGCTACAAGCCGAGGCCCAAGAAAAGACAAACACTATCGAGACCGGAGCGGAGCTTAAAGCAGAATACTTGGGCCAAATCCAAGAGGCGGAGCGGGTGAAGGAGGAATGTCGGGGCTGGAGTGCCAAGGAAATCAGTGAATTGAAGGGTAAGCGCCTTCCTTACATATGGCTGAGACTCGAGCTAATTCTCGATAGAATCTGTCCACAAGATGGAACGTCAGACAGGATGGTCTATCATCTCGGCTACTTCTCCAAGTTCCCCTGCAGGTCCGTTGGTGACGATGTCTTATCGCAACCAGCTCCAACTTTCGTTCCACCCGGGGGCATTCTTTATCAATAATAGTAACAGCCAACCTCCTGCTACTGCCGAGAAAATGCCTATTGAGTTGAAACACAGCCCTCAAGACAGAACAAAGTCTATGGCTCACTCTGCGCTCTCGCCGATAGGGTTGTTAGTCTTGAAGTCTCTCCAAATTGAGCTTGCAACCATCCCGCAGTCTAAAACGACTCCAAAGCAGATGCTCCATTTCGTCGCTCAAGCGTGGGACCTTGTGCTTAATCTCGAGGAGGAAGCCCGTATGTTGGAATTCTGCGGTGCTACCAAGCTCAAGTTTTCTGAGATCGATGCAAAACCCGCCCTCAGAGCAAGATGCACTCTGCTCGAACTTCCATCTGGAAGGGAATCCTCAAAAGCAAAAGACACAGGAGCCAGAAGAGTCGATGTTGACTTTGCTGTCAAGACATGTGTCCAAAAAGGAAACTCTGCGGATGTTGGTGTCCTAGCACTCGAGACCGATGTGATTGCCAGCAAGGTCTATGGTTTTGGCACCAAGAACAACTCCGGCATGTCTGAGGATGAGATGCGAAAACTTCTACGTAAGGAGCTGGGGGAGAAGGCCGGGCCTCAGCTTGGAAACGGCGTTTGGAGCAAGGCAGTGCAAACACTTACCGGGACAGTGTTTTGATTATGAGCAATGGGATATGGCGTCTTCAGGATCGTCGGGGTTGGCTTTAAAATAACTTTTTCGTTGCACGCGAATTGGGTGACGGTGTTTGAGGGCAAGGCTTGGGAGTTTACCATGGGTGGATATCTTCGGTGGGAACGGGTTTATACAAGGGTATGATATGTGGATACATCTACAAGTACATAAGAATCATAATTCCGAGTCTTTCATGCGTCATTTAACGTTCAACAACAACATATAGCTCTCGTCAACGCCGAAATATGCATATAATCCCCACAATCCAAATCCAGGAAACCCAACCCCTTCTCCCAAACCCATCACTATAAAACTAGCAACCACCATCGCCCGTAAGTATCCTCCTCTCTGTCTTCTGCATACCCTACCTCCTCCAACAAACAGGCTCCAAGGGCGGCTCCCCCGCTTCCTCCCTTCTCTCATTCTCTTTCACCCACGCCTCGGCATGATCCCGCCTCGCATCCAGCTCCTCACACATCTGGTCCGACACAATGGCCAATACCTTCCCCTCTATGTCTTTCTGGTACCAGCCGCCGGTGGTGTCGACCGTGTCGTCGAAGGTGGTCTCGGGGTTGGCGAGCACGGCCTTTTTGACATCTTCTTGTGTGTCGAGGCGTGGGATTGAGGGCGAGATGCTGGGTGGGTAGCGGGTGTAGGTGTAAGTTTTGGTGTTGGATGAAGTGGCCATCCTTTTTCCTTCCAGGCTGTTTATTGGTTGTTTGGGCCTGGGTTGTTGGCGAAACTGGGAGTGGTGAAGGAAGGGGCGATGGTAATTTGAGATTTGAGAGTAGATTGGGTATACACAGGATGGGGTTGGGTGGAAATTTATGTGTGAATGATTTTGTATTGGTGGTTAGTATGTGTGGGTTGAGTAGAAGATAAGATGAGATGAAAGTGTTTTGTGATGGAAGGACATAGGTATAGAACCTGTGACAAGTTATATATATACAAAGTACACACTACGTCATTGCGATCGACGTCTAGTGCTTACTTTTGGCGGCGGCCTGATTTTTCAGAGTCTAGACCGGGTATCTTTGATCCTGCAAGATGTGTTTTCGACGGGGTTCTACTCGCCCGAAGGTTATAGACTGTGGTAACTGTACTTCAATTTGATATATACAATGGGTATTGGGATGATGCCGCTATCATGATTTTCGAATGGAGTGACCGGTATTAGTTGTCGTCAATTCATTAGGATACAGACAAATATTATATCCATCATATCTGCTTATGACTCAATATCGATGGGCGTCCCACGTCGAATATTAGAGCAGGGGATACACAAATGTAAGACGTCGCTGAAACTGCATGCTCAGTGATCAACACACAAGGGTCCAGTCCCCTGCTGGTCGATTGATTAGAAGAGGTTCATGAATCCCCGGGGCATCCATGCAGGATAGCTCTCCACATTATCGGAATTCTCGTAGTCGAACCCCATGTTCATTGGCGCCGAAGGCATTGGTGGTGCTGCCATCCCGGCCATTGCCGACATGACATCGCTACCCCCTTGAGCAAAGAATTGTGGACCGAAAAGGCTCAGGAACTGACTGCCAAATTCCCAGTCAGCCGCCATTGGAATTTGCCACAGTTCTGGCTGGTGTATGTTGTCCGCCATAGAGACCGGAAAAGTATCGTCCATTGGATGGGGGTAGCTCTGCTGGATGGTTGCACTTATGCTTTCATGTGGCTGGCTCACTGAGAACCCACCTAAGAGGGAGCCGTTCACAGTAGGTTGGTCCCCAGTGGGGGCGTCTTCTGAGGCAGCGCTAGGGCTCTCAGGAACAACATAGCCCGACGAGTTGATGCGTGGGAGGCCTTCGAGTTGAGGAATGTCAACGTTGCCGGCACAAGGGGAACAGGCTGCCTGCTCCTTGGATGAAGAATTTCTTTCATTCTGTCCTGGGGTGGTCACAGATGGCGCAACAGGTTGGTGATGTCTATCGCTTGAATTGAGCGCCTTTTGTTCGCGCTCAACGACTGTCCAGGCTACTCGCTCGAAGTTGGAACACATCTTAGTCATGAACTTGGCGTAGTTGCAGGGGCCGTCGCCGGGTATGAGTGTTGCGAAGAAGGTTGCTGCCATGCTGAGATGCTGTAAATCTTCTCTGGCGTTGGGGTGCTGACTGTCGCGGAGTATATAAGTGAATAGTATGGTAACTGCCAGGAAAATGTAATACAACAGAGACCTACGGGTGTATTAGCGGAAGGTCCAAACTGGTGTCTCAAATTGCGGCAACTCACCAGATCCATGCTATGTCTCCCCATGGAAGGTTATTCACAAGCTTCAATGTGTCCCGGGCAGCCTGAACGCAGATTGCGCTCGCCTTCGTCGACTCGTTGAAGATAGTTTTGTGATCAACGTCCCACTTCACGTTGATTGTGGAATGGCGCATATAGGCAAAATGAATAGTCAATGGCAGACGATGAATCATGATCATAGAATTAAAATAGCCAAACTGCAAGCCAGCAGTGGCAAATCCCACGAGGAAATCCTCGCCTGCTCCTCTCGGCTTCACTTGTTGGGTGAAAGGGCTTGCATTATGCCATTCCTCAAGTTCCCCCCGGAGCTCACGTACAATATCGTAGATTTCTTTGGGGGACATCTTCTGCAGAGCCTTGACAGCATAAAGCTTGCCATATATCCGGCTCCTTATGAGCGTCATATGACAAAGTTGGCGGAAAAAAGAAGCATTGCCGTTCATTGTAAATTCATCGTCGGTATCGACCTCAGGAAAACCAATATCAAGATCGTCTGGATGCTGGGTGGGCGAACTCCCCGTCCGTATGCATGCGCTACCATCGCCGAGTTAGCTTCAGATGAAATAAGAAGGATACCATATATTGAACAGGTATTACCTCTGATCAAGGATATAGGCAATCCAGAATACCCTCTTCCTCTGTTCTTGCTCGGCCTGAGAAAGATGGGGTCTGGGAACGTCACGATGGAGTCCCATTCGTTGACACGACCGTATGGCTGCGGTTATGATAGGCGATGCTGACTGAGTACCCGAATTTCCTCGGAGAAATAATGCCATGCCAATAAGGGCCTGCACACTCAAGATATCGGTCCTCCGCAATGTCAACTCCGCAAAGACTGACATAGCATTTTTGTAATAAAGCCAGGCTTTCTCCCTGTCTTTTTCTGACTTCTGGCAGTTGGAAAATCGATATTCGTAAGCTAAAGAGAGGATGATATTGATGCTGGCCCAACGGGCAGCATCATCACACGTCTGTTGCGTATATTGCCATTCAACCAACTGCATAAACGTCGCCTCATGGTACAGTGGAAATAACCGGTTCACTGTGCGAAAATAATCCTTCAATAAGGAAAAGACTTCCGCCCTCGGAGGCAAAGGCTTAAAGACCGTAGACGAGAACACGTCATGAAATACATCTGGCCGCCAGTGATCCCAGGGGCTGTCATGATTTTTGTCCTCGAGTAGCAAAGTAAGAAACTTAGAGTCTCCTGTCTTGCTCTTGATCCACTCGATCCCATCCCGAGATAGTATGGACAGGAATGAAGATCGTCCTAGTAATTAGTCAACCAACAAGTGCCTTAGAGGAACAACACAGGGGGGATAATAATGCTTGACATACCATAGTATCGAGAGTCTTCTCGAGGGTCATAGCGGAAGAGGGGTGGCTGGTGTAGAGTACTATCCCAAGGTAGCTTCTGGCCCTGTCCGGCAGATTTACTCAACAGATCTGCACCGGACGTGATGCTCGACTCTTCGTTTGCAACATGTATTGAGTCTTTCGATATTAGCATCCCGGAATCACGGCTCCTCGAACCACAAGGCTCGTCCCCCCCATGATCACTATCACTTTCATCCTCAAAATTTTCGTTGCCATATTCACCACCGGAGTCAAGTTGACTGATATCTTCGTCGTCTAGAAGTCCTGCGGCGCGGAGTAAAGATTCAGTTTTCCGCAGGCGTTCTTCTAGGGTTCTAACGTAGTTGGTTCTAGAAGGAACTATTTAGTAAAAGCGGACCCTTGAATGGTTGTAGGTGAGAGTTGCAGTGGTGCATCGATACCTTTTCAGATTCTCTCTTTTCTCTTTTCTTGTGGTGAATTTGCACGTTATGTTACGACGCATACATTGAATACAGGCCGCATCGGAGCCTTCAACTTCGCATTTGACTTTCTTCTTATAACACATCTCACACGCCTATCCAGATGAACTCAACCAATGCACCTCATACCACGCACAAAGAGAATAATTCTTACCAATGGGTTACGCCTTCGACTTGCAAGACTATGGCCGTTGCTTAATCGCGTACCCTGTCGGGCAACGGAAGAGCTACCTAGCGCTCCCCAAGATGGCATAATCCCAGCATCTCGCGCTGAGTTCTGCATATCTTTTTATGTCTGTCTTTTTAATAGACCAGGCAGGTGAACCACAAGAAGTGTAAGTAGATCGGGCCCGTGCCCCGGGTTCAACAGATCATCTGTTTACTGGAAACCCGCGGCGTGGATTTGGCACCGGTCCACCTGGTAGACCCGACGTTATGTTAGGGTTAAAGATACGATGTTGTTAAAAGGATGAGAAAGCATAAAAATAGAAATTAGAGAAGAAGAAGCGCGGGGATTTGACGGTCAGTAGCAGTTGGATCCCACCGAAGTTGGACAAGCCGGAGGACGTGGAGGAGCAGACGGGGAAAGCGGGCGAATGATAGGGCCACTCAGTTCGAATCTTAACCTGACAGCCCCATTTGGTTTTCTGTTGGTCTCTTAGTGCAGGAAAAGCCTTTGCCGCTTATCCGTGATATAACTGCACAGTATTATCATACATAGGTGGTAGATATATACACATGGAAAGGGATCGTATAGACAAAAGGACGTGAAAACCAGAAGTGCAACTGAACTTTTTTTTTTCTTTCTTTCTTTTTCTTTTTCTTTTCTTTTTTTTTTTTCCGGCCTGCGGGTTGAAGCGCCATTATTAATGTTAAAAAAGCTGATGTTCCTTTTTCAATTTTATGTCTCGGGAATCGGGTCTTAGCACATCCGATCCGGGCCCACCATATTTTTGATATCAAAAGGGTCTGGATGTCAGGGACGTTTGATAACAAGAATCAACACTACATGGAGCAAGTGGTCGCAGTGCTCATATTAATTCCGGCCAAGGAGCTGGCAGTTAGCGGGTAGATTATCCCAGTGAGTGCTAATCTGAGCAGCGGCGTTTCCTTCAAATGTTGATGATCTGAGCTTCAAAACCAGTGGCCCTTCCGCGTAATGGGTACGAGGCACTTCGCCTTTTGTTTGATTTCTAGAAGCCCGCGGTTGGGCTGAGGATCAAAAGCCACTGCTCTATACTTACAGCAAAGAGTGAGTAGTCTTGATAAGCCTTAGTGCCGGGCTTTGATTGACCCAGAAGCTGCAGAGCCCTTTCTCTGATCCATATATCACATTGTTTGGCTCAGCTTCAATCCAACAGAAGTGCCCACGATGAACACGTAAATATTGCCTTGTCTTGAAATAGCTTGTCACCAAGGGCTATAAGAGCCCAGTACTGTGCTAGCGATGTTCATTAACTGGCTTGTCGGGAACCTATCATAGCTATAACGCGAGTCCGTGGGTGCTCGCCCGAAAGTAGGTTATTTTGACGATGGCATATTTTTGTGGGATAGAGCTTCTGTCCGCAATTTAATCCTTAACGTAGCAGCTCCACAACGATGCATTGACCATCTTGTCTGGGGAGCAGAAGTTGAGCCATTGAATTAGACTGCGCCTGAGATGGACAGCGAATCAATCATAGACTTTATTTTCCTCTCAGTCATATCGCTACCTTGTGTGGTAATAGAATAGTTCTTGTAGACTCCTTTATTCCCTTTTATTTTGTGACTCGATTAATTGATTTTGTGGGTTGGTCAGTGTGACAGGAGTTTTCGGTGTGCTAAAAACCAGTGATCTTTGGAGAAACCGTTGGCCGTGCAATAGCCTTGAGGAGGGTTGTTAAAGGGGACTAGAAGGCGACAGACACTCACAGTTGTTAGTGTACGAGACCTAAACCCCAAGTCAAATAGTTTGCGAATGAGTGTACCTGTAGAACATCTTGCGACTGCAGAATTACATCCTCGTCCCATCTAGGAGGTCTGTCCCCAGCGCGGAACCCGAATTTTGTCCAGCATGAAGCCAAACACCGGAAGATACAGCTTCCAAGTGACGAAGGTGAATTGGAAATGTATGCATATGGGGGAATAACAACCGAGGGCTGTCAGAGCCAAATGCCCTGCCGCGAAGATAAATCAAAAGTCCCAAGATGAGCTGTTGGGTGGGGACGAGTATCCAGGGTCACGACAGCCCTTGCTTTGAACTGCCTGGATTCCAAGGCTGCCTCTCACGCAATCCGCTAGAGGTCCAAATCACGCCATTCTCTACGGAGTCCATGTCGAAAGATAGTGAGAAATTGACGAAATATGTTCAGTCACCTGGTGGATCGAGGCGCATGAACTAGATCCATGCGAAAGCATCGTTTCCACAAGCCACTTTTAGTCTGTTAAATGATACGAAGTACCGGTAGTTATTTACCGGTATTGTGATTCAGTCACACTACAGCACCACGAGGCCTAGGAGAGTTATACATGACTGCGAATATGCATTAGCCTGCAAGCGTTGGAATTGGAGAGCCATGGCTTATGCCCGGACCGCATGGATGCGCCGCGCTAACTAGGATGTTGCTCAGGCTTTAACCCTAGGTACCCGCACAAGTCGGAATTGCAAATCGGCCCTTTCCGCCCCCAATCGATGCGAGTGGTGAGTATGGGCGCTTTGTATATAAAAGGGCCTCTCAGACGATGGATTTTCTCGGAAGACGCAATATAGATCCTCAGACCAGGTGTGAAAGCACCAAAGCCGACCTCGGCTTCCTTCAGACAGGTCCTGTGGACAACAGGAGAGCTGTCCTGGATGGTTCCGGAAGCAGATGTCGATGGCATTCATTTAAAAGAGAATGCCCCTTGCGCATGGCGGAGACTGAGTCTCGCAAATAGCAAGACCCATTGGAAGATGGTGGACTTCACCGTGCGGACCCTTATACTGTACTAAGTACAGAAATGGTGAATATGCCGTTCAAATCGCCACACCACGAAGTCATGGTGGAGTCTACCACTGGAGGGACTGGCTGGCTTTGGGTTAAACTACACCAGAGTGATTAGTAGTGAACTTAATTGATGGTCGGTGGACTTGTAGGTAGCGTTGAGACCAGAAACCCCTGGCTAACTGCGGATCACATAATCATGACTCTCTTCGGTGTAGATAGCTGGACGTCGAGGTTGTACTGTATGGTACTCCATATAACTATACAGATGCTCATCAGGATCCCGAGGTCGGTAGGTCAGTCCAACGAGACATAGAATTTCCCTGTTTTCTGTCCCCCACGCCTCTGCTTCTCGGATCATACTACGTAGCGGAAGAGCCGTGTTGGTCGACGATCAATCTATCTCTTTGGAAAAAGTACTACCACGGAACTGGACAAGGGGAGGGACTGTTTCTTCCCGCCGTGGAGCGCGGGGAAAGCCGCCAGCAAAGGACAGTGGAATAATAATAATAGGATTCAGAGCTCAGGAGGTCGAGAAATGCCAAGCTTTGTTGCTTACCTTGTAAGGTCGTAAAATTTGGACGGAGTTAAGCAGACGATCCACGTCATTTAGGAACACGTAAGGTATGGGTGTGATTTGCTCGAGAATTGGGATGAAACCATCTTTGCTGAGGACTAGAAGTCTGGAACAGAGGTTCTGTCTCCCCGAAGTGGAGTCTTGTTATAAACTAAGGGAGAGAATAGATTGGAAGAGCCATGGAGATGGTGATTGACTGGCACGTACTCGGACTTAACTTACTTTACCGTATTGATGGGCCGTCACTGCATGGTTAGGTACTTGAGTACTTGGCGATAATGCCAATCACAATTCTATCTCGAGTACATTAGAAGTACCTGTAACTTCCCTGATCCACTCAGATCTCCATCTTTTGACAGTATATACCAGACTTCCCGTACACTAACTGTACTAGTAGGTACTGGAAGACTGGACTTACGTAGCAACGTCGTATGGATGAACAGCATGTGCACGTAATTTTCCTCCCCCTTCCCGTCTCCTTATTGACGGGCGGAGAAGGAAATCCACGCACTTGATCATGATATACCCCCCTCAATGGGACGAATACGTAGTATCCATGTTCTAGTGGACGTTGAAGTCTTCTTTTTTTTTTATTTTTTTATTCTTTATATCTACCACCCATATCTTCCCTCCCCCCCCCTTCGGTACGTTGTTGCCCTTTTCATCCGTTCCTTCACCTCCAATCTTTTTTCCTCCCACCCCCATCAAAAATACAACTGCTCCGCCGTTCCGCTGAGAAAGCGGTAAAATTACCATACACTTACTTCCGAGGCTGCAACTGGCGAACCAGAGCGCGCGATCACGACATTTCTCCATTCTATCAGATCATCCACTAGCTTGGACGGGCGTGAGACGATCAGCTCTCTTGCCTCGTTCCAATTGCTCGCTGGCGCTACGCCTGCTGTTTGCCCCCCGGCCGGTGCTCCATCAATCGCCCATGTCTCTGCGTTGGTGATATTGGTCCTTGTGGTGTGGTTCCTTTTCGCTTCTTCTGCGATCCCCCTCGAACGGCTTCTATCGTCTCCATCCGTACGAGGTTTATTACCGAGTTTGTCCTTCCCCCGTCGCGGGCCGTTATTCTTGTTGTCAACTATTATAATTATTGTTCTAATATTATTTCCATTCGTTCTCTTGCGTACGTGGCTGGTCACCTCCCGCGCTATGCGACTTGCGATGCAGTGATCGCAGAACAGATATCTTTGCGACAAGTCATACAATCCTGGACCTGTGAAATTCGTGCATTCCTGGACCAATTCCGAGCTTTCCCCTCTTTGAGCCGATCTGGGGTTTGGCTTTCTTCTCTGGTTCAAGCTTGTTCTGGCGCCATCGCCCTCCAGTCCGGTTCCTGCTCCTCTCACAAGAAGAAGCAGAAAAATTTTTTAAATTAGATTAGGTGGGCGCAAGAGGTAATTCAGAAGAAGAAAAAGAAAAAAAAGAAAAATTACCAGAAACTTAAATTAAAGAGGCAAGGACCAAAACGAGGCCATTACCAGAACGGACGCAGCTCTAAAACCTCTAAAAACCCATCGCGCAGCCAATATGTCAGATGAGCACATCGCTCGTCAGACAGCGTCAAGCCTCGATAGGCTTGAGAATTTCAACTTCCTACTCTCCCGACACGATCCTGCCCTGGCAAAGAGTAGACATTACTCTTTCGACGCAGACTCGGCCGGCTTGGCTCCTTTTCAAAACCTGAGTATGGATTACGACCAGACTGAGGGAATGGGCGGCCTTTCCGTCAGT